AATCGGATGTGCAATCTAACACAGGCATACAAATACCTTGATTATAATGCGAAGAAAACGAATAGACAACTAAAGTGGCGGCTTTCTCTTTTTCTCTATGTTTGCCAACGTCCATCAACACTCGGCACACTTATCATGCTCGTCACTACCTGTCGTATCCCTCCCGCGCTAGCAAGAAATGATTAACGACATACGTCTTCCGCCAAAAGAAAAGAGATCAAGGGAAAAAAAGAAAGTATTCATCACAAGAAGTGCCTCTTTAAGACGTCTACTAGGATAGAAAAAGATTATACAAGAATAAGCAAACGATCGGTCGTTTATCATTTATGCTTGGATAGTATATATATTCAAAAGATTCGATCGAATATATTGGTTGAGTTGCGGAGGCACTATCATGTAATATATTTATTATAAATCAATAATAATTTTTCTTATTTCTCGTTAATATTTGATTTTAAGATTACATATAAATTTGGCTTCATCAATGTGTATAAAACGTGCACTTACAAATAAAAGTTTATCAAATAAAATGTAATATAATTATTAATAAAAATTTATAACCTAATGAAACTATATAAAAACAAAATGTAGATTTTAATATATTGATTATATTCATTTATTTTATACTGTATATATATGAATATGAAACGTGTGTCTATTGAAAATATATTCTCGTACAATTATTATTTGTTCAAGGTACCGCCCTTCTCATGATGATTGAGCTTGTCAAAAGTGTGATATCTCACGCTCGTGTTGTTGTCTCTGATTTCTTCTTCTTCTTCTCCTTGAACGGATCGTTTCGTCTATCGGCATGTTGTTTTTTATCTTTCAATGTATGTATATGTATTTGTGAAGTGTAAATGAGATCGATGCATGAGCGGCTTTGACAAACTAACAAGAATAGTCTATGACACCTTCAAACAAACAATCATCTTCTCCTCTATTTGCATAGAAAATCTTAAGTACCGACAAGTAAGTAGGTATTCAAACGAACAAGAAAAGAAAAATAACATCAAATAATGATAGTCATTCGACAAGTGGAAACCTCTCCTCCCATGAGAATGAACAATAATGTTGGACATGATTACATTTCTAGTACTTGATTACAATATATGATCGATGATTATGACTTGAAATAGTGACATTAGATATACCTCTTTGATGTTGAACTACGTCATGAGTTTTATTTCACAATAGTAATCATTAAAAAAAATCGAGAAATTTTATATGTATTATTGTACATATATCCTGCAAATTAGTAATAGAAAAATGAATGTTTAATGAAAATGAAGTAAAGTAGAATACATACATGAAGATTGTTTTAACTCTAGATGAGCTTTTTCTATTTTTAAATAACCAACTGGAGCTATTGGATCAGATGATGTTGCAATTATTTTCACTTCATCACTAATAAAAAAATCAATATAGATTCGCATGAAAAAAACTATTTATAGAAATTAAATTTACATACAGAACAATTCGTTGATGTTTGAACAGAGAACAATCTAGTGTCAATGTTTCAAATTCTCCACCTTCACCACAAACATTTATACCATATTTTCCTTCCTAAAAGAGAAAAATAGATAGAACTATGGCATCGATGATACACTAACCAATTTAATCAATATTGGACGCATTTCAACAAGAGTTTTTCCAAGATGTTCTTTTGGAAATAAACCTTGAATAACACAAGAAAATATATGTATCATCATTTAATATGTTAGTAGGAGTCTACCTAAAGCAGCTGTTTTTATTAAAATAGCATGAATATTTGAATCAATCATTTCATTGAGTAGTTCCTGTTGATTACGTTGCCATAAATAAGCTAAAACTTTAAGATCTAATCGTTGACAACTAAATAAAAATAAAATTAAGAAAAACATAATAGGAAAAATGAAAAATAAATTTACACATTTGCAACACGATTATTTTGATATTCAGAAAAAATAGCACCAACAGAAACAGCATCAATTGCATGTTTATTCTAAAGAAATAAATGACAATAATAAATAAATAAGAAGAATATTTAACTTGCTTTAATTTCAACAAGAAGTTCATATAAATCTTCTACTTCATCACCCTGAACTGGATGATTATATTCTTTTTCAGTTGTTTGAGCATCACCTTTAATTTCAGTTCGATAAAGTGGTAATTCCATAGCTTTAGCGATTAAATCGATTATTTCATGTCCAACGCTTTGATACATATAACTATCGAGTTCATCTATGAATTAGAAAATAACAAAGACTCATTTCATTTTGTTGAAATTATTCTTACCAATATCTTTTTTTGGATGTAAATTAGCTAATGCAACAATTTCATGGCCATGTCGAACACATTCAATCATATTATATGTACTATCTTTACCACCACTATAAATAAGATTGATTAATAAAGTTGAATATTTATTTAAAAAGACATATTTTACCTGATTAAAGCAACTACACGCATTTCGAATGAGATATTGAAAAAAAGTGGAAGATTTCGATAATCTATAAGTATGGATAATTGTAATCAAAATCATATTGTCTTATTCAAAGAAGGTATTCGACACTTTTCTGGATAAAATCTGAGTATACTATTATATAAATTAATGAAATTTAAGTTTATATTTTTAATAAACATTTGCTTTAATATATACTATATATTGTTATTAAGAAAATTATATATGTATTTAACGGTAGATGAAAATATAAATATAAACAATATCGTATTAATACGTAATCAATTTATATAAAATACAGAAAAAATTTAAAATAATTATCTTTCGCTTCTCAATATTATTAAAATATAAAAAAAGATTAGAAAGAATAGTTACTTCAACATCTAATTTTTGATAATTACGATTCATTTGAGTCTGTAATTTTTATTCTCATATCCTTTTTTTCATACTAATAGACTATATAGTATTTATATCTAAAAATAAAAAACGTCTGAATATAATCTTCTAGATCAATTCTTTGCCGTAGTTATTTATGAAAATTTCCATGTTCAATAAAATGAACCATACGATTAGAAAGATGAGTTTTACACATGAGAAACTAAACTGAATTTATAACTTACACGATGAAAATCATTCCTTCAATTATCTTACAATTAAAACGAAGTAGATTGTATTATATCATAAACAAGTACACAGCAATCAACTTCTTCACAATAAAATTTAAAAATGTTGTTGATCATGTGTGTCCCAAATGTTTTAGGAAAAAGCAAAAAGAAATTATTTTAGAATAAGGATGGATAATCCCTATTGAATTAGCCTGGGTTGTTATAAGACGAACATCAATGTGTGGTCACTTTTGTATTTATAAGAGTATTACGTGAGCTATAAACTATTGAAAATGTTAGTGTCCTCTACAATAGTACGTTACATTTTTCTTAATTTGTTTAACAACTGTTATCATATTCAAATTTCTTAAAGGAATTATTTAGAATATAAGAAATTAAGTAGTAAAATGCAGATCTATTGTAGAAACTTGATCGAAATGAGAGGCAATGCTATGACTCACTGACATCGGTTACTAGTATGGTAAAGTTATATAATATCAAAACTAATATGAAAATTGTGTCCTGCTGATGTCGCTGCGTCTAGTGAAGTATAAATACAATTTCAATACTTCAATGCTTCTAAGAAAGTATTAATATGTCAAAGTATAACTACGTATTATAGTGTAATCTAAATATTCATGTGAGTCATTTTCTAATAACAATATTCTAATAAATATCAATCATTAGTACAATTAGTAATGACTAATTTTCCAAATAATAAAATTGCTGTTATCAGATTTAATTTATCAATAAAAAAACAAAACAAAATTGATTGCGACATTCTTTATATAACAACATTGAGAAAAAAACATATTTTTTAATTTCAAATTTCCTACATTTTTATATCCATGATATTTTTAATCAATATGAATATTTCGTTTCATATAATTATTGCAGAAAAAAAATCATAATTTTTTTTTCTGTAATTTGATTTCACAGCCTTCGAGAAAATGCAAAGAAAATGATATCATCTATTTATATCAATTGACATCAAGTTGAGTGCATTACTTGTGTTACAAGTACTAGTAGCATAAAGACAAATTATATTATCTCTTCCGTTTCATCAAACCAATCGGAAATTTAGATTATAAACCTTTTATCATAATGACAGATCAAGGAACCTTTTTTTTTCTTAATACAATTTATAGCAATAATTACCAACATATTGTCATTTTTTTTCGTCAGATCAACTATTTCTTTCTCTTTTTTTTTATACGTATAGATAAATTACGAACACACAAGAAGAAAGAAGACGAAATACAATTATACGTGTCAGTTTTTTTCTCTCATAATCAAACAAAGAAAAAACAAACAAGGAAAAAAAAAGACTTGCACACATGCACAATACAAACATGTGAAGAAAGATTTCTATATACAATTACAGCAAAAAGAGGCAAATATTGTTACACACACAGATATATTTATCCATAAAGGATTGAATAGTGACAAACAATGGTCACAAAATCGAAATATCTGACCTACGACGAGAGAGAGAAGACGAACTCACTGTATAAGCGCGTATATGAAAGCAAAAAAGAAAACAAGAATGAATATAACGCAGATCTACATTAAGAGAATTTTTTAAAGAAAAGAAATTGATTTGATAATATGCAGAAAATGTTTTTTGTTTCGTTATTTTTAATCAGTGTGTGTGTGTATTCAGACAGCTCATTCTCATCTCTCATAAATAACTTCATATAAAGTCGCTTTTTTATCACCGGAACCGGTCACGATGAAATTGTCATCTTGTGATACATCGCAGCTTAATACCGACGAACCTTCTTTATTCTAAAAAAAGAAAAAAGAAAATCATTTATTTATAAAATAGTCAATATGATTAGTACAAGTACTTACATCGAATAATTTTGCTCCATATGGTGTTTTCCATCCAGTTAATTGATTATCTTTACTTGTTGACACAAACCATTTACCTGATCGAGCATATTTTAATGATAATACACAGCTCTCATGTAATGTTAAACGAAATTTATCTGGTTTAGTTGATGAAACATTTAACACATCAATGACACTTTGTTCCATGCCAACACTTAACCAATCATCACCTGTTGGACAATAACCAAGTGAAAAGATTTGTGAATCAAATTCAAATTGTTGTAATTGTCGACCTTCACGTACATCCCAACAACGTACAGTATTATCAAGGCCACCTGTCCATACACGTAAACCATCAGGTGTTAAATCAATACAACTTGCGCCATCCGTATGACCTTGAAATTGTCTTAAATAAACGAAAAAAAGTCATTGTTAAAATAAAGACTTCTAATTTTTAATTTATTTACCGAACAATTGTTTGATTTTGTATATCCCAAACAAGTACATTTCCATCTGAACAACAGCTAAAACAAAGTTTACCATCTGTTGATATAGCTAATGCATAACAAGCAGCTGCTTTAGATTGTAATTCTCCTTTCATTCGTAGTGTAGGTGATGTTGAAGATGAAGTAGATGCAGTTGAAGAATTTGAATTACTACCATCACGTCCTAATCCTGAACCATTTGGTGGTGTTGTTGATGGAGTTACATTCAAATCCCATATTGAAATATTGGATGCTTCACCACCAACAACTAATGTTCGACCATCAGGTAAAATTTTAACTGAACGTATATAAGCATCTCGACTCTAGAAACAAATAGACACAAATGAAAAACAAACAGTTCGTTTAAGTTTAAATATATCTTTACCAAACATTCAAATTGACCAAATGGTTTACTAATAGTCAATGGAGAATTTCTTCCATTTGAAATCGAATTAGTATTTATACTTTCTTTTAAATCCCATATTTTTACACAGCCTTTACCACCTGTGTAAATATGTTTATTTTGATCAGATATTGTTACTGCACAAACAACATCACCGTGTATTAAACTACTTAAGACTTTTATACGACGTGGACAACCTGAACTATCAAATGCATCTGATGGAAATGTATATGGTTGTAAAGATGAAGATGAATCAAATGAATCACAATGAAATGAATAATGTTGTTTAGTTCCATTACGTTCAAAAATATTACCACTTGCTGCAGCAGTTGGAAATGTTATAGTTGATGGAGAAGTTTGTTGCTGTTGTGATGGAATACGCATAGCTGAATAAAGATCATTCAAAGCTGTTGGTGGATGTAGAGATCGTGAAGCAAAATTGTTCGTCAAATTTGGATTCGTAGGATTGATACCGATACCACTATTACCGGCGAATGCTGCGTTGAGAACAGATGTTGGATTGAGACCGGCAGCAAAGGCAGCCAAATTTTCCGGCATGAAGGCGCCATATGGACCGAACATAGCAGCTGCTGAATACACACACACACTGATCATTTTTATTAAGAAACAGATTCGGCAAAAGGAGGACGTGAAGACATACGAGGCAGTTTCGGAGAATGACGAACACCACTATTGCTGCTACTACGCGAGCTTGATTTGTTCGTTGAAGTTCCACCGGCGCCGCTCGATGATGCATTCGTTGCTGTTGTTATTGGTGCTGATCCACTCTTCTCGCTACCCTATTTAAAAGAAAGAGAAAAGAAATAAATATAAAATTTAAATTATATTTTTAAATTATATTCACCTACCTTCTGTGAAGGTGTACTACGTGCTGAACCATTATCACTATTTGGACTTCGGCTACTATCATCATTATGTGAATGTTTATGACGTGAAGCCGAAGTTAGTTTTGATGAATCCCCATTTTCATGAGGTGAGCGAGAACCATTCATGATTTGTTTATCATTCTAAATAAAATTTCTATTGTTTTCCATTTTTTATTCAATTATTCTATTCTTACCTCGTTCGTATCATCAACAACTAAATCACCATCGCTTTTTTCACCATCACTTTCCTAATAGAAAAACAAATTTACATTAAAAAAACTATATATTTCTACGAAAATTTTATAATATACCTCATCACGTTTGAGTTTTTTAGATTCATGAGTATCTAATGGTGAACGACTATGACCACGATATTTATCATTCATATGAGGAGAATTTGAACTTCGCTAAAAATAAACATTAATTCAATTTTTAATCTTAAATCTCTAACATACTTTATGTGATGATGCTTGTGCTGCTTGCGCCGCTGCTGCTACTGCCGCTGCTTTTTCTGCACGTTCTAGATTATCTAATAAAATAGAAAACTATTTATAAACAAGACAACAAATTCAAAATATAAATATTCTACAAACCTTTTTCATCTTTAAGAAAAGCTTGTTGAGCTGCTGCTGCTACACCTTGTAAAGCTAAGAGACCTGGAGGCAAACCTCCACCACCAGGTAAACCGTATGGTGATGCTGCATGCGCAGCAGTTAATGCTGCTAAATGAGGTGCTTGTGAATGTCCATGGGGGAAAGCAGCACCTTGAGCATGCATTTGTTGCTAAAAAATAAGATTGTTTATTTTTTTTATTAAACAAAATTACATACCCCAATAATAGCATTTAATTCTGCAACTGTCACTTGTTTCGCACGATCAAGTGTTGCTGCTACTTGATTTTGTTGCTAAATAATAAAAATAAACAATAGTCAATGCTTTTAGTTTTTCTTTCAAAAATGAATTGATTTTACTTCTTGAGATAAACATGGAATTATTTGATGACATATTGCTAAATATCGTTTAGCTAATTCGGATTGTCTATGCATTTCAACATTAAGTCCATAGGACATTTCATAATACTAAAAACAACGAAAATTCTATTAAGAAAAATATAATTCTATTAATTAATTAAATTACCATAACATATTGACGATGAACTTCAATTTTTTCTTGTGCTAATTTTTCACAATCAAATTTTAGACTAAAAAAAAAGTTTTTATTTTATATTGAATGTTTATTTTATTTCTCTCTTTACCTTTGACACTGTTGTTGTAAAACACTAAATTCTTTTTTTAATCGATCGCAATATTCCATAATATTAAAGTCCACCTGAGAAGAGCCCTAGATAAATATATTAATATTTATATAAATATTATTTAATTCATCCTACCTGTGGACCATTACGTCCAGAAAACATATTTCCACTTATTTTCTCTTGTCCACTACTATTTATAGTATTGGTGTTAACTGAACCGGAACCGGTTCCGCTGCTACTCTTCTTTTTTTTCTTACTACTATTGAAATTTGTTAAATTATCGTCGTGCAATTTTGATGTATGATTTGATGACTGCTGCAAGCTGCTACTACCAAGTTTGAGATTCGTGTGTGAGTGAATTTTGACGGCTTTAACTATTCAGATGCGCACGATGGCGATGTTGAATTAACAACAATAGAAAAATGAAAAACAACAAAAACAAAAAATGACAATGTCAACATTCACAAACACGACCAAATATATGCGTAAAAAAGACGAAATGAAATTAAAGGGATTATAGAAGTGAATGACAAAGAAAACAGTAAAAGAGAAAAATTAAATTTTTTTGTGTATATGAATAAATTTGTACAGTAAGTGTATGAATGTAAATTTCGTTCGTTTTTTTTTGCCTTCTTTTTTTAAAAACTATTATGAAAAGAAATTAAACAAATATGATGATGATGACGACGATCGACATGTTGCCATGATGTATGTGTAGTGGTCTAAAATAGAGTGGAATTGAATAAACAGAATACATGCAAATCCAACAACCCATCCAATAGCGACACTATGCACTTAACAGGTTTTCATCGATCATGATTGCTAGCCGAAGAGAATAACTGAATAAGAGACAGAGACAGAGAGTGAATAGAAGAGGAGAAGAAGAAAAAAGCCTAGTAATATGTCAGTAGTAATAAACTGAATAACACGTGGATGAGACAAGAAAGACCTTGACAATGACAAATGGTTACGAAATCTAACTCTAGTCTATTGAAACAGATACTCGAATAATATAATATCAGTTGCTAGAAGGCACTATATACATATGGATATATGTATATAAAGAAAAGAATAGGAGAAGAGGATATATTATCTTAAAATAACACAACAGCGTGTGTGTTTGTGCATGAACGACGAACATGTTCTAATCATTTTCTATTAGTGTATGTATATGATGGTCGACGATAGAAAGTAGCAACGCGCGTCGCATCGGAAAAAGAATCGACGACGACGATGAAGAGAAGAGGAGAAAATAACCGTCATTGTCGTGACCTGACGCGGCCGTCTTGTCGGCAGTGGCTGTTGCTGCTGCTGCTGCTAGGACTGCTGACGAGTGATAAGGTTACACACATACAGGAAAAGAAAAACATACTAGTCGTCGACGACTATGCACAAAGAGAATGCGTTTGTCTTCTCCCCCTCGACTACAAGTGTCCAATTTACACACAAGATGAGGAATATAGATAGATAGATGGATGGATGAATGAATGAATGGACATGGATAGAGAAAGAAAGGAAAGATACTTAATTAATCGCGATCGTAAAGAACGACCGAACGAAAGAAGAGGACAAAAGGGCAGTAATACTACCATCAACTAACATAGAAAACAACAGAAAAGATCAAAAGTCGTCGTTCGTGCTGTATGTGTATGCCCAGAGGACATCACGCATCAGTAATAGAGTATAGAAAGCGAGAGCACACGACGAAATACGCGTGCTTATTCAAAATAATTGTATGATTGAGGCTATATATATACTTGTGTTCATATATATATATATATGTGTGTGTGTGTGTATATTACTGGTAGAAAACGATTAGCATTTTATAAAAAGAAGAGTACCGACAAAGAAAATGAGAAATTGGAGATGATGACGATATAGTTAGTAGTAGTAGTAGTAGAGTGATGTAGGCGAATAAATTTCTTGTACGCATCGTTGCTTTAATATCTATTATTTTCTTTGACATATGGTCATGATTAAGAAACATACAAATAGAAAGAGACACGAACACATTTTGATTACGTCAAATGCCATCCGATTAGGAGTAGGTGGACTCTGATCAATCACAATAACTAACTACATTTATTTCATCGTGTCATTAGATGAAATTTTGTTTGCCTGCTGTTAATAGTAAAAAAGAAATAATAACAACAATAACAAGAATATTCTCTCATCTCACGATCTCACTAAGCACGACGATAATCAATATGGATGTATATATACATATACATATATATATAGAGCGAGAGAGAGATATGTCTGTATATATGTGTATATGTACATCAATCTTCATGCAAATAGAGGTATAGACGATGAAGGAAAGAAAGAATAAGAAGAAAGAGAAAAGCGAGAAGATGCGATAGCCATCGCAAATTGTCATGTGTGTCTAAGTTGACTTGTGTATGAATGTATAAATGTGTCTATGTATGTAGCAATATCGCGCCTAACTGATCATGTCAAGGTGTGAGACCACTTGAGAACAGAACGTGTGTGTGCACATATATAGAAAAAGTAAAGAGAAAAAGAAACACAAAAAAAAAAAGAAAATGAGAATGATGAGAGTCGTCGATGACGTGCAAACATTGTCTAGAGGCTACAAGTTTCTGCTTTCTTCCTATTTCCTACCGTGCTGTTGTTACTATTCTGTTCAGCACAGATATAAATGAATGAATGAAGCGAAGAAGCAGAAGACGAAGAATAAGAGACGAGAAGAAAAACGGAAACGAGCCAAGATTGATGATGATGGTAGTAGTAGTAGTACTGGTAGTAGTAGAGAGTGAAGGAGAGCGCAATGCGACGCTACGATGATGATTGACAATAGAAGAAGAAAACGAGTTAAATGATGTAGTAGTGCGAATCTTCAACTAGCAATGAAAGTGAATGAAACCACATATATACGCGCGCGACTGCTTTCTCATCTCATTCTTCGCTCTATTACTGTCAAAGACAAATGGAATCATGCGTGCATGCAAAAGAAGATGATGAGATGGTGTGTATGTGTATATGAAGAAAAAAAATGAAATGTTAACCCGATTGAATAGCATGTTCAACTTTTTTCTTCTTTCTCATTATTGTTTGCTTAATACATATTCATCTTCTATATATATATATATTAACAATACAACCAATTGTCATCATTTATAGATGTCCGAAGCTATTCTTTTCCTCTTATTCTCTTATACTGTCTATCTCTAATATGTATTTGAGTGTATGTATATATATATATATATATGTTCGTTACTATGTTTTCATTTAATCAAGTCAGTCAGCTTGTGAACTTCTCAAGTGTCACTTTCATCGCATCGATCATTCATTGGTACTTACATACGCATATCGTATAGAGACATTCATATTCATGACAGAGTAAACAAATTGCAGTTATTACTATTACTGAAATATGAACAGTCTTATTATCGACCTGTAAGTATTTGCTCGGCGACACACATTTGTCATACTCATATCGGTAAAAATCTCATGTGCAATACAATCGTGATTATATATATAGATGTATGAAAGGGAGAAAGAATTGATGATGTGAAAGATAATGAGATTAAATGTGTATATATATATACATACATACATATATATATATATATGCATGTATGTATGTTATGGCTTCATTGTATTGTTGACATAAGTGAAGAGTGGTTGTGTTTCTTCTCAGTCTGTATTCCTCATCATCATCGCTGTCGTCTGGTGACACACGCCAGAATGCATTCTTCTTCGGAAAGAGAAGTGCTAATCAGTTAACATGATGCAGACGACAAGAAAAGACTGTGACTGTAGACAAAGAAATAAATAAGAAGGAGAAAAAAAAAGAATAATGAAGGTGAGACCAATCGCTGATAGAATTGACGAAGAATATAAAGCGTGTAATATAAGCATGCAAATAATTCCCAGTAAGAGATGAAGGGAGGGGAGAAAAAAAAGAAAAGAAGTCGTTGAAAAGCATTTACACATTCATGACATCAACTGTAGAGTAATAGTTGACTAGAGAAAAGAATCATTTCATGCCTTAGTATGCATATCTATACATTCATATACTTATTATTAAGAACGACTAATGATGATAAAGATAGCGAGATGGAGAGTGTAGTAAAAAAAAAGCGATAACAAATCAGCTTCATCATCAACAACATATAGCAATTAACACTACCTAGAACGAACGAGCGAACGAACGAACGAACAAGAAATTAGAATGAAAGAAAAAAAAAAGTGTATTTTTCACATCAATTGATCGATAAATTAAACCACTCTAGAGTGTGAAATCAAATAAAAGTATATAATGACAAACAGAAAAAGAATGAAGTATGTTTGCTACAAAACAAATTAACATATATTATCGAGAAAAAAAAACAAAATTTCAGCTTTTTTTCTCGTTTTTTTTTGTCTAATAAAAGACATAGACAAATACAAAACAATGTTCTTTTTTTTTTGACAAATATACGAAGAGAAAAGAAAGAAACGTAATAATAAAATAAATTATCTCCAATAATATGATTGGTTATAAATAACCATTATAAAATGCACTATGATTCATCAAACTATGTAACATTCCTATGCACATTGTATTTAAAAAAAGAAATGTACATTTTGACTCAAATAAAGAATTAACAAAAAATAATATTTCTTTTTTAAATACAAAATATATATTTGAAATATGTTGACTTTGGTATGATAAATAAATAATATGTCCTCTTATAACAAAATGGCGTTTATAATATAATCTTAGTTTATTCTTTTTTGTTTAGATGTAGATGGATTTATTTATTTAGTTTCTTTTTTTCTTCTTATAAAATCTTGAAGGATTAGAATTTCTATTTTTAAATAATAATAATAATAATGAGAAAAGATTTATGTATGTATTATATAAAAGGATTTCTTAGATAAATCTCTTATGAATGAAAAATTGAAGTGTTTTAATTCTTGAAGATTATTATTTATTATGAAATTTTAAAAGCTTTTAGATATATTAAGTTGATAGAAATATTTAATAACCTACGAAATTCTAGATTAGTTAAGCGAAGGTTTTTAATGAGAATATAATTTACATATTTCAGCTTTGGAAAATAAACATAAACTTTTCTGATATATTTAGTGTTATTATTTTTTTTGCAATACAAATAATTTATAATACAGAGCAAAGCTTTCCTGTAAGCGTTGAATTAGCCGTATAAGATAAAACGATATTAAAATTTCTTACGATATAATCATATCCCAATAGCTTAGAATGTATTGAAAAAATCTGTATATTTTTTTATGATTGGGAGATTAGCCGTAATACTAATGATAGCTTAAAGAAGGAACTCTAAACTTTGAAAATCAGCTACCCCTAAAGCTATTATTATCATCTTTGTAGTATATTAGATATTTTTTTGCTAGGATTAAGTTATTATTCAAATATAAATAGATTTAGAATCATGATAAATATGATTTTAATAGATTCTTTTATTGTAGATATTATTTCAACTTCAACTACGAAGCATTCCACCAAATTATACAAATTCAAATGAATGGATTTTTTATTGGAAAATGTTTTATGAATAGAAATTGTTATATTTTATAGGACTTAATTCAAGGATATATTTTAATTTTATAATTTTCTTTTTCTTATTTCTTTTTTTTCTCATAATGCAGAAAGAAAATTCCTAGGATAATTATTTAGCCAATGATAAAACACACAAATAATATGACTCATGAAAAAAATTTCATCATTCCCTTTTTTTGTTACGTCATATGTATATATACATGTATTTTCATCACATATTGAAGTCATACATTAGATCAAATGCCACGGGTACTTTTTCCACAAGAAGCAAGATACTTACACGATTGGAATGGACAACCAATTTCCAAATATGCGCTTGATATACTTCAACCCGGTTGTATTGTACGTTGTGTTATAGCAAATGAATCATCAAAATCATCGTCATGGGAAGCATTATATTTTGAAATAATTAAATGTAAAGATGGTACTTTTTGGGGTAAAACATTAGATACATATCGATTTCAAGATGCTATTGGTTTACCTACAGATAAGATAACTACTTTTCGAAAAAATCATATTATGGAAATACCCATTTCATGGCAACCACCATATATTCGAAAACATCTTAGTAGATATCTTGTTAAATAGAATATTTATATGCTAAATGAATGGTTTAATATCTTGTATTTTTCTTGTGAAAAGATTTCATATGGTTTTCCCATAATGATATGATCAATTTCTTGGAAAGATATATCAGATCGTAAATATGAAGATTGATATTTGATCAAATCTTTCTTTTTTTTTGCCTTACATATGAAGGTCTTCGATCTATATTAGTATTTTGTACAAGTAAATGTTTTGTGACACTTTATTTATGTTACAGAATCTTTATGATTTACATATGAGGAAGCATGATGATTCTAACATGTTTTCTTCAGTTATTGTGTAAATATCATAATTATTATACTAATCTAGTTTTCCTATTCTATTATGAAGAATAGAGAAAAATCTGTTCGTGCATATCTAAACATATTATGAGAAAGTTTCTTATTTTATTCGCAGAGTCCATATTGGTCTTATAGTTGTCATGCTGAAAGAAAACTTGAAGGTTGTACGTCATTGCATGATGATGTCGAATATAGATTACTCGTTTTTTTTCTTTATATGATAGAACGTAAAAGAAAAGGAACATAGACAACCTTTTCGTTTATGTATTTTTTTACGGTAAAAAAGCCAACAAATAGTAACAAAAAGCGAAGTGGTTGATTTTTTTCTCTTTACTCTTTCGTCCGCTTAAGCGAGTAAGCGCAAACAACTCCTACTCTTATTTTTTTTATTCTCCCTTTTTTTTCTTCTTCTTTTCTCATTGCTCGTTGTCGACGACAACTAAAAGAGTAAGAATACTTGTTATTTAACGATATTTTTTCATTCTATACTCTACACTACCTCTTTGTTATATCATTCTTCATTATAATCATACAATTTGTAAAGTGTTTATAATATTATTTCCAAATATAGTAGATGAAATAATTCGTTTTTATATTCTCAATTCAAAATATATTTTTTCAGCATCTTATATTATATAAATCTATATATACAGAGTTGATGATGCAAAAAACTAATGGTCGCGTACTGTTTGATGATTTATTACATATGTTCGCAATTTATGATATATATTACTCACAAAAAACGTGTTGATCGAGTGTATTACAAATATTAAATGAAACTATGTAATAAAAGCAGATTTAACTATATTAGATGATCATCGAATTTAATTCAAGTGGTTGTTTCATATTGTAAATTTTGGATGAAAAATGTTTATTTTTCTATTACTTTATTACCTAATTTAATTTTAAAATACTGATGAGCTATAAATGAAGTAAAGTAGAGCGAAAAAAAAGATGTCATGTTCTTGATATTCATATTAGAAAAAAAAGAGAGAGATTGACCTTAGTGATGCTGGCATATAATGAGACTGTTTCTATGAAATAAGTTTTTCTCTAACTAATTATTTGATCGTTATTTTTCAAACGCCATTTATTAATATATATATGTCTGTATCTTTTCTAGATATTTATAAAATTACTGATTATTTAATCGATCAAACGCATCGAATTCTACTTTTAAATATTTATAAAATTCTATTCGTATGTATTATTTTAAATTTATATTCTTTATATTTATTATATTTTATTTTTATAGATCGATTTATTCTCTCATCCGACGATATTTATTGACATCGAGTGATATATCGACGATTGAATCGGACCGAACGAACTATCTATATTTTCTTCAAACTAGATAGAAAGAAAAAAAAACAGTACATTTATTTGAAATAATAGGGAAAATGAGTGTACCAGCTACTATGACAGCAGTATCAATAACAACAACAAATCATAATAGTAGTAGTAGTTTAGAGAAAAATAAACAAAAAACTCAAGAACATATATTTTCAGCATTGACAAGAAAATCTTCAGAGCATCGTATGTCAACTCCACAACAATCAACAAATGAAATAGTTAATCATTCTATACGAATTGTACCAAAATTTCGTATACCTAAAGTGGAAAGGTAGGTTTTTCAAAAGCAATTATTCAAATATCGATCGATAAAGTCCGTTTTTTTTATAAAAATTTTTTTTTTGAAGTTTTTTGTAATGATCTTTAAATGTGTGTCTTTCTTTGGTATTGTGCAGATAATTTTCAAGAGTGTAGAAATTTGATAATGAATAGTATATTTTATATTAAATGTCAACATGACTTGAATTCAAGGTAGGTTTTTATTAGATAAAAACACATTCGTTTCTTTTCTTGTGATTTGTTTTTAAATCGAATAAAATTATATTAATAAAAAATTAAATATTTATTCGTTGAATCTTCAAGATGAATATATGATTCTTTTTCTCTTCTGTTAATCGCGGACTTTGTCGATCAATATATTTCATACACTATTCTATATCTATATTCATTTGCTTTTTATTTTCAGGCAAAATAATAGTCTTTCATTATCAGATCAGAGTCAATTATCTCCAACAACAACAGTTAAAATGGAAACGAATGATAGTATATCTACAACAAAAATGAACTCTTCTTCGCCACCAAGTGAAGATTTAAATTCTCAACAAGGAAAACGAAAATTTTCTTTAAGTCAATATAAAGAACATAAACGGTTGAAATCAAATGATCCTATACAAAATTCTTCAGCTGATATTGATATGCGAATAAATACTGTGAAAAATATCAAAGTAAGAATAAATATATGTATGAGACTTTTATAATTAATTGAAAAATTTTAGAATTCGCCACCACCAACATCGATGTTCGACGATTCACAATTCATATCGAATAATCAACCCATAGTTAGTCCGAAAACAGAGGATATCAGTAAAGGTATTATCATATTTCATATATTTTCTTCAAAAATATTATTTTTGTTTTCTTTTTCTAGATTTAGTTATAAAAAGTAATTTGAGTGAACCAGGAGTAAAAAAAATAATAAAAAAAAAAAGTAGTTTGGGCTGATGAAAATAATAAAGCCCTTGTTCAGACATCATTTTTTGAAATAGATGATTCAGAAATAGCAGATATGCATGCATTTGCACGTCAATGTGCGACAAATATGTCTATAGCACAACTTGAAAAATTATTGGAACGTGATCTTCGTAAACGACGGGGTTTACAAGATGTTAATTCATTTGATGATGATAAACAAAATTTACTTCCATTACCGCCTTTAATACGTATTTTATTGCCTGATACAATAACAAATCCAATAGTTAAATCACAGGAACGTCTTGCACAAGATGAACGTGAAAAAGGTGTTCTACAGGCTCTTTTTATACGTTCATATTTACCTGATAGTCCAAGTGAACCCGATGGTGATCTTCTTGGAACTAGTACTACTACTACTATTGAACGAACTACACCAAAATCAATTCCACTTGAAGATGTAAGAATAAAAATAAATAATAACAATAATAATCATAATAATAAAATATGGACAAATATATTAAATGAAATAATTAAAACTAGAAAAACTATCTTTGTTCATTGGAATGTGAATATAAAAAAAGAAAACACAGTTCGCAAATTGATTCGATGTCACACATTGAACAGAAAGAAGCATTTGTTATCGGCTTGTAGTTTATGCTATGCATCATATTTGTTTCAATGCATTGAAACGTTTATCTACTAGTCATAATAATCATTTTATACGCGCACACTCAGATAAATATCAAAAGTATGAACATCGCTGAACAATTTAGCTATTGGTATTTGAACGTTAATCGTTATATAATAATTATGATTTATTAATTATTATAGACATCTATGTTGACGTTGTTAATTACTAATACTATATATAATTAACGAAATCTAAGCGATGATCAGGTTTTTGATTTTTAATCAGTGATCATAAAATATAACTATTTTAAGATGTAGCTACGATAGTATATCTATATTGAGATGCTATGAGATTGTTTTGTATAATTTTTATTTAAAGAAAGTCTTTATAGAAATGAAGATGACATATTCCAATTAGTTCTGCGTTTTATTTCATTGGAGATTATTGTTAAATTCATATTTTTCTATTCTAAATATTAATTATGTTTGTTTTTAGGATACATCCTCGTCCATATTGAATCAAGTACTACCTATAAATAATAATCATGCTACTAATAATTCAAATTCAACAAATGTATCTATAGCTTCAACAAATCCAGTATCAACAGCAGTTACTCCAAGTCTTTCATCATTATCATTTGATAATATTATATATCCTGAAGTTGCTCAAATTCTTGCACAAGCAAAGGGAAATTCAATGTCAGCAACTGCAAATAATCCGTCATCAACAATAATAAATACATCAATGAATTTACCAACTACTCTACCGTCAACTAATCCAACTTTACCATCAGTATCGTCGAATGTTACTACAGCATCAAATTTACTTTCTGCTTTACTCAATGTTACACGATCGAATGGAAATGATACAACAAATCAAGTGGGTAATAATGTATTAAATCTTCCGCTCAATTTTACTTTACCACCACCTCCAACAATTTCTCTTAATCAAATATTAGTAAATGCTCTTTCGTTTGGTTTACCACCACCAACAAGTTTCAGTAAGTATTCTATTTTCGTTTTTTCTTAATTATCAATAAAAACAAAAACATTATTTTTATTAATTATCTAGATAATTCAATGCTTCATTTACCATCGACTACATTTAATATTCAATCATCATCATCATCACCGACATCAAATATGAATAATAATTCATCGATGCCACCGCCAACATTTCGTTTTGCTTCTAATTCAAATCAAAGAATGCCATCAAGATTTGATAATAATAATAATGAACAGCCAATAAAGAATTTTCGTGAACATCATAGAGGACATAATTATAGACGAGGAGGATTACATAATAATAATAATACTCGTCGCGATTATTATCAAAATCGAAATAATAATAATAATAATAATAACAACAACAATAATAATAATAATAATAATAATAATCGAAATATATTTTCATGAAATATACATTCTGTGATAGAACTTTAGATTAGTTAACATAGATGTATTTATTTATAAAATCGGTTTTTATTTTATTTCTTATTCCGTTGGTTTTCTTGGCAACTATTTATTTACATGGAAAAAACACTGTTTCTGTTATTCTTGATATTTGATGTATTTTCAGTTTTGTTTCGTTTGTTTTTCTTTTTGTACATTTTACATGATATATGTAATAACTCTTTCACTGATCAGAAAATAAATATATGTTTAATACATACTTTTTTCTTTTTTATTCTTATTTAAACTGGAACAGACAAATATAAACACGAATGTTTTACTATATTGTTTTTGATAAAAATATGTATTATTTGATTAGGTATACGTAATAATGACATTACCGATGGTAAAGTAGGAGATATGATTCGTTTACGAAAATTATGAATTTTGAACTTATAAACCACGCTTCTTTTATAATTGTTATATAAACTGGATTTTCCTATGAATGAATGACTGACAGAAACGAGATAATATTGTCATTGCTGAATCATGCGATCTTGCAAATGATATAGACTTCTAAACATACAAGGTTTGTTAGCACTGCTCGGCATATGTGGAAGCCACCTGAGATGTTACTTTCCGTTCCGATTTGTTTAGAACTCATTCAATCGGGTACATAGATGTACTAAAAAGCCTAAAAGGATTTCTCCTCATGGTTCTTCCTTCAGAATTTATGATGATTTTTCTGAATTTTCAGGCTATCCATATGTGTTTACCGAGAATATTAGAATATTCTGATAGTTTCAGAGAAAAAGAATGTTCCCTTCTCGAGACATTGATTATTTAAGTGAACTTAGCTTTTATAATCTATTCGAAAAAATCAATATCTCGAGTAAGGAACTTTCTTTTTAGCTGAAACTTTCGGGATACTCTAAAAGCCATTGGATCTATATATGGGCAAAATTTCATAGTTTAATCTTCTCAGTATAAGCATAAGAATAGCTTGAAAACTCAGAAAAATCGTCATAACTTTTGAAAGAAAAATCCAAGAGAGAAATCTTTTTACACTTTTTAGCACCTCCATATATAAATAAATTATTAAGAGGTGTAATTTTATATGTAACAGAAATAAATTATTGAGTAATGTAATTCTATATGTAATAGAAATGATTGAACTGTTGTTTGAATAAATAAAATACTGTATTATCATTGTAGATATTTGAATTTTATTTCATAAAGCACTGAAGAAATTTTCACCAGCGAAGAACTTTTTTATTTTTATTGTCTTCAAATGTTCAAATAAAAGACAGAAAAGAAATCATATCAGATAAACGTAAAAATAAACGAAATAAACAATAAAAATGATTGAGAAGTAAGTATTATTCCTTGATTACAATTATCTGTTTTACAACAAGCAATATCAAATCGAACAGTTCCAGTTAAAATCGTTTGTTCTCTACAACTTTGCGAACACCCTTTTGATACTAATACTTGACCCGATGTATGTATTCGAATCTTTTCACAACTATCAGTATCTGATGTAGTAAATGAACATGTTGAATTCCTATCTGTACCATCATATACATCTTGACAATTCATACAAGTTACACAACTAGTTGGTTGAGCATGCAATTGTTGATAAACTACATTTATAAAGTATTTATTTAGATTATAGAATTTAATTTTTTAACTTACGGAAAATATTAATTAGAAAAACAACAAAAAATATTTGTAATATATATTCTTGCATTTTAATTATTCTTAGCTTGTTATTTTCTCAAACGCTTATACAGAGAAGATAAGAAGATGTAGACAGGAAAAAATATTTCTATTTCTGTCTTAGTAAATGAGAAAACATAAAAGTTCTTTCATGACAATTATATATTCAATAATTATTAATCCTTTCCGACCGGCTATTCACAACAGAAATGCGGGAGCATCCTACGGCAAAATGTTGCCATTTCAGAACATCCGACCAGATAGAATTAAAAGAAAAGACGATTAGATAGAATAAGAATTTATTGTTAACATATAAAATCTGTATTGCAAGTATTTATTTAAATTTCATATATATTTATAGATTTAGTCATTTTTTTTTACTTTCATTTACATAAATTGAATAAAGACAAAAGAGAGAAAGAAAAAGAGGAGCATTGTACTACACGAAAACAAGAGAATATAAATATTACAAAAGTTCTGAACCTGAACTTCGTCGTCGTCGTGAAAAAAATTTTCTCCATGTTGCAATTGTTTTCCCATTTAAAACCCAACCCGATGAAATAATTCCAATAGCTAACATACATGTATATTTAACCATAAATAATTCGAAACGTGGTCGATATTTTTTATTATCATTTAATTGACAATTAAGAGAATTTGAACAAAATTTTTCTTCATATTTCCATGTTTGTAACCAATGTGAATAATTATTTTGTTCATAAAATAAACATATAATTAATATAAATTGTGGAATTATATAAACAACACTAAATGTTCCAATTCGTACCATAAAACGTTCAAGTTTATCGGTTTTTGTTCCTTCATGTTTCATAACTGTACGAATTTTAAATACAGATATAAAACCACTTAAAAGAAAACATAAACCAACGAATAAAAATATACATATAGGTATAAGAATAAAACCACGTTGAACATTTGGTTCAGTTAAACCTGTATAACAAACACCTGTTAAATAATCTCCATCTATTGAACGTTTACTAATTAATACAACACTTAAACATGCTGGTATACCCCATGATGCAAGATGAAAATAAACTGATTGTGAATCAATTGCTTCATGTCCCCATTTTAAACCAGCTGCTAAAAACCATGTTAATGTTAATATAACCCACCATATCATTGATGCCATACCAAAATAATAAATAAGTAAAAATGTTAATACACATAATTTATTATGTGTACCTTGCATAAGAAATCTTGTTTGTCCTGTAAATGAATAATCTTCTGTATTACAAACAATATTTGAACCATAAAAATAATCAACAAAACCGCCAACATAAGCACATGCAAGTATAAAATAACATATCGATAAAAATAATATTGGTCTTTCAGGATAACGAAAACGTGATAAATCAATTGAATATGTTATTATTGTAAATAATGTTGATAATAGACAAAGAATTGCTAATACACCAACATAATGACGTACAAAATGTACTTGATCATTTGTAAATAAACTACGATTACATGGCATTGCACAATTAGATTCATGATCGAATTTATATTTTAAATCTGTTTGTGCTATACGATATTGATATGAACATGATGAATCAGTATCATAATCATATTTTGCTGATATTATTTGTTGATTTGGATCTTTTGGTGCTTCGAAACATGGTTGATCAATAGGATATTGTGAACAACGTAGTTGACTTGACCATGAATAACCGAATTGTTTCATTATAGATTCACAACCACGACGTGCCTCTTCACATAAATTTCGACATGGTTTAACAGCACTTACTACAAAAAAATAAAGTACAATGAAATCATTTCATGAATAGAAATTCAACTAATTAATATAATGAGAAAATATATATCTTACATGTAGGCAATGGTGAACATATTGGTGTAAAAACACTGCATAAAAAATATTTCAATGATTTGGAACAATTTATATTAAATAATGGAACATAAAGTGCCAATTCATAATCAGCTTCTATTAAAAAGAAAGAAAAACAATTGGAATTATTTAAAAAATTTAGTTTTTTGTCTTACCTTCTGCTCGTGTATGTCCAAGAAGATTGGGAAAAATTGTCATATTCCATGGCATTGTTGCACATGGTCGTGCATTACTAATTTCAACACATTGATTAAGTGTATTACTACTTGATGAACCACCCATAGCTAGATTGGAAAATAAATCATTTGATTGACTATTAACAATTGTGATTAATAATAAAAAGATATGAATATTCATTATTATATTCTAAAAATATACAACAATACATAAATATATATCGTTCATCTATATTGTATAAAATTGATGATTGATATGATTATTCTACGAGATATCCACTTTTTTTTTTCGCTATGTATAATATCTAGCTTAGACAGAACAGGAGGGCAAACTAAAAATCGCTCCGTCAATGTAGCTCGTGTGTCCTGTCTACTTTTCTCTCTATCGAACGTCGAACAGTTATATGTATATATATGAATGTGTACAAATCAAGCATATACTGACGAGAGGGACAGGAGATGATTATTATGGTGGTAGTGTTCGACCTATTGGATAGATGTTGTCGATATTATGTGAGAAGAAAAAAAAAGGATGGAGAACGAAAGGAATAAAATGATGAGAAAAAGAAAAATAGAAGATAAATGGATTTTCAAATGAAGAAAGGTCATATAGATTGAAAAAAATATTGGCATGTTTAATCGCTTAAAAAAATATTATGATCAATTTATTTTTAATAGTTATTCTATTTTCGAATTATTAAAAGTTGACTGAATTTCCGATAGAATATTTCCTAGATAAAGTTAATATCTTATTGATTTGTATATCAACATTTAGTTAAAATACTTTTTGACGGCAATCTGAACTTTAAATGAATCGAATAGATAAGTAATTGCTATGTGTTTTGTTTATATGATATATATATATATATCAGTTAATAGATCAGACAATAAACAAATGATTATTTTATGTATCATTTATAATTCTCCGATCGTTATAGTCAAATAAAAAATAATGTTTTTCTCATCGAACAATTATTCACAGATGTTTTTCATCATTAACAAATCACATAATAATTCACTATTGACATTGATTGTTATCGGATTCTGTTGATTATCTCATCTATGAAATATATATCGAAAAGAAAACAAAATATTGTCATTGAATTGTTAAAAAATATCATTCCGTATTCATACATACAAGTGGTTTTCTCTTGTCTACTTCTTCAAGTATAGAGATAAAAGCATATAGATAACATGTTCATGACAAACAATTGTTATTTCTCATCTAGTGTTTATTTAATCGTAATATTATCAAGTGGGGTCATTTTCAGTCTTTCTGTAAGAAGAGATATAAAATAATAGCTGTTTTGTGATGATAAACACATATTGTTAGTATAAATACACGAATCATATTCAATTTTCTATTTATGTTTATTTGAAAGATAAAAATTATCGTTAATCATACTACGATTAATCATAAAATCTGATCGATATTCTTGAAAACAAAAAGAAAAATCATATTGAAAAATCTTCAACACATAAACGAAAAAGTTTTTCAAATTTTTCCATATCAATATTTGAAATAATCTCAACGTTTGGTTCTCGTTTGAAATGTTCATACCAATCTGAAATCATATGTCCAGATGCTATTGATCCAAATGGTTCAACACATGCATAAACACGTTTAGTTTCTTGTATTACTGATTCATCTAATATACAGGCCATACAAACAGCATCACATGAATTTAATCCTGTAAAAAGTTCATATTTATCAACAGATACTTTAATAAAATCAATTAAAAATTGTGAAACATCGGCAAATAAACGAGCTTTATAATTATTCGGATTTTGTTTTAATGGAAAATATTCTTTATCGAGTTTTTCAAATGATATTGTTGCCATACATGTTAATTCAAATGTTATAATTCTTTTTATTGTTTGAAATTCTTCTAAAACACGTGCAGCAGCTAATGGATCAACAGCAAAATTGAATTCAATACCAACTAAATAATTGAAATCAATTTTTCATTTGTCTTTTTATTAGAAAATTTTCATTTACTAGAAAGTGTATTAAATCTTGGAATTGTACAATTTCCACCCATCATATAAATAGATTTTATATTTCGATTAAATTCCGGATCAAGACGATGTGCAAGATATATATTTGTTAATGGTCCTATAGCAGCTATAACAATTTCACCACGATTCTCTCGAGCTAAACGTACAAGAGCTACAGCTGATGGTTCATTACTTAATAAATCGATTTCAATATTTTGATCTTGAATTATATTACCAAAACCATCTTCACCATGTATATGCGGAGCATATTTTTGACTACCATCAAGTGCTCGATCAGCTCCACGAAAAACAGGAATATCTTTGCGATTGAATAAATGTAAAACATAATGAACATTATGAATACCATTGACAAGTGATGTATTGCCAGCAACAATACTTATACCAAGAATTTGAACGTTAGGATATGATAAAGCCATCATTAGTGCATGACAATCATCAATACCGGGATCACAGTCGATAACTAATTTTAATGGAGTTACTGATGATGATGTCATAATAAACTAAAAAATTGAATTTACAAAATTTTCACTTGTATCTATTTTTAATACTTGTTAATATAATACGGTTTGATAATGAGATCTTTTTTGTATAGGAAATTACGAGATCAAATTATATCATTATGTAGAAATATGATTCTATGTTATTATTTTTATCCTGTGGTTCTTATTTCATACGTCGTCATTTGCTCATATTATTGTTTTTCATTAAAAAAATATCATGACTGAAACACTATTCTCATTGTCTTTTTTTTGTCAAAATTCTGTAGTTTTTATTGACGATAAAAACTAAACTTACTTTCTTTTATCTACTATTTGGAATAAGGTAGCTATATATGTCCATTAACGAAAGGACAGAATAAAAAGCATCATTTGAGTGACTAGTAAGTAATCGATCATGGCTGTTCTATAGCTGTCATATACTTTCATTTTACTAAACTGATAAGAATAATTAAAAGTAGAAATCTATTAATCTCTATTGTTTGATAGCGACATTTCTAAATATCAAAACCGCATTGGTTAAAATAAAATTCTTCATTTCTCCTCTTGAAATTGAACAACAGAACAGAACAGTAAACTTATATATTAAATTCAAGATTATTTAATTATATTAAAAAAAAATCTTTTATTTTAAGATAAAATTTAATAATAAGAAGAAAAACAACAACTTATGGATATTAATATAGTTAATACAATTTTACGATTATGTTTTGAACAACAAACATGTCTATTTGAAGTTCCGATTTTATCTGATTATTGTCTTGAACAACATTTATGTACAAATTCTAAACATGTACTTGCTAGTGTTAAAAATTATATGGAAATATTTAAAATTAGTCGTGATCGAAACCGTATTGAATTCTTTATGCCTGTTTGTATTCGAAATTTTAATTATTTCTTATAAGACAAAATTTTATTTTTTTAGTTTGAAATATGTCGAAATAATTATTTTGATAATACATGTCAAAATAATGGTGAAATATGTTCAAATTTACATGTATGTTATGATTATTTCTACACAAATTCATGTCGTCGTTCATCAAATTGTCCATATCCACATCTATTAATTGAAAGAATACATAAAACAATTCTTGGATCATTAACTAGTCTGGATTTAGATGTATTAACAAAAGCTTTTAGAGTTTATTGTCAATCAAAAGTAAAATATATGCATATATATATTTATTTAAATTGAATTTTTGTTTTTCAGAAACATCTATTAAATTATAATACATCAAATATGTCATCATCGAAAAATTCCCAACCGACTCCATCTTCGTCATCAATTAATAATAATAATTCAACAACATCATCAACTTGTCCTACTGCACCAAATGCTTGGCGATTACCAGCTACTCCTCATATTAATGGAAATTCATCTTGGAAAACTAATAATCGAACAAATTTAACTTCAAAAATACTCCCTGTACAACAAACAAAAAATCATATTCGTATGTATTCATAAGAAATTAGAAGAAATTTACAGTTTTTATGTTTTTTTTAGCTGACAAAGGTCTTCAGATACGTTGGACACCATTAAAAGATATTCAAAGTCATTTTGTTGAAGTAGTTTTTAGTAATCAAGGCAAATCGAATGGTGGTCCATTACGCACACATACTACTTATCAACATTTAGGTATTGCTCAAGTATTTTATCAAAATTTAGATAGTAAGAAATTTTATCATAAAATGAAAAAAAATTCTATTGTTTTAATTTTTTTCGTAGTTACTGAACGAGTTATTCGTCATGGTCCTATAACATTTCAATCATTTACATTTACACCTCGTCTTCTTCAACGTACTATTGATATGCGTCATATATGTCTTTCAAATATATCTATTGAAATCACTCATATTCCATTATATATTAATACTGTATCAATGCCATATAAAATAAATCGTTTTGAATTTTATCAAAATGATCAAAAGACAATTCTTGTTGAATATAATGAAGATATTGGTAAGGTCAAATAAAAAATATCTTTTGTGTTTATAATTTTATTTAAAGATTTTTCGAAAATTTTATCAAATGTCCGAAATTATCCTGAATGTCATGGATTAGCAATAAAATGTATTCAATTATATCATCCGGAAACATTATTTATTGAATATGATCATGAATATGATATTAAAAAATTATTTTCAAATGAAAAAATTTTTCATATTAAAACTTATCCATTTTGTGCGTTTGTACATTTTTTTTCTCATGATGGTAAATATATTATAAATGTGTAACTGAAAAATTAATCTATCGATATTCTTTAGATTTAATGCGTTCAATTAAAACATCATTGAATGATTCTATACGAATGACACCAATTTATATCGATATCTATTCTCAACAACATCTAGATAATTATCTACAACGACGTCAAATGGAATTTGAATCTATGAAAAATTCTTTAACACCTTCGATAAAGGAGACGGAAGTAATACAGAATATTGAATTACCTGAAAAAATTGAACCATTATTACCTGTAATAACAAACGAACAAATAGGTTTATATTGAAATTTTTTTGTAAATCAAAATTTTTTGTTATTATAAATTGTAGATATTCCTTCGGAAATTCAAGCTGAAGAAGAAATTTCTCTATTAAAAACACCTGAAACTATAATTTCCAATCATGATGATGTTGGTGAAGATGATAATATTGAAAATATTGATAATGATATCCAAGCAAGTGATGATGATTTTCATGATTTACCATCAGAATTTGATGATAATGATTTATTTCTTGATGAATCCATTGATAATAATGGTGATATGGAATTTCTTCGTAGTGCAGCGAAAAATTTAATGTCATCATTAAGTGAAATGGAAGAAGCAAGTAATAATACAAATGCTATTGATGCACCTCATTCACTATTATATGGTGATGATTATATTGTTACTATAAAAAGTCGTCGTTTTGCATTAGCATTTCTTGATTATACACAATTTCGTGTTGAAAAACAACGTAATCCAGATAAATTTCGTTTACTTTCATCATTAAAAAAACAAACTGCTATAAATCAAAATAAACGAAAAGATAATCAACAACGAGATGATGATACATCATCACCCATATCAAATATTGATTCCGATTTATTACTATCAATAGAAACAAAATCAAATAAAAAAAAACGTCATCGAAAAAATAAAAAGAAAAAAAATATGAATAATAACGATAATAAAGGTATGATTAAATTTATTTTAAACAGATGTTTTTTTTTAATTTTATTTTAAGACCAACCTGAACCAACACCGGATTCAGCGAATGACAACGAAGAAGATGATAATGATGGTACAACACATGTTCTTAATTTTCCTACACAACGATTACCACATGTTTATCTTGATGATGATCTTAAACCGTGTATTGTTGTCGCTGGTGAGGAACATCATGAAGAAAATGGACATGATGCAAATGAACATGATGATTGGCATGATATTAAAGCTGGTGGTAAACAAGTTCCCGTTTCAAAAAAATCCAAAAAACGAAAACAACATCAACAAGAAAAACTCAACATGAATATCATCGAACAGGTACAAAACCTGCTAATCAAAAACATTAAAAGACTAAATCTTTTTAGCATACACTTACTCCAACTATTGTTCCAACTGTGCCACATATTCGTTCGCAATCTCAAGCCAATGAATACAATTCTTTAATTATACCTAGAAATTGTCGTGGTTTTATTCATAATCCAAGATTATATGAAACATTTCGTTTACGTCTTCGACGTTCATTTCCATCGATAAATATTCATTTTCAACCGGATACTTACACAATAATTATTGATGGAAATATCAAACCAAATGTTCAACAATGTCTTCATTATCTTAATTCATTTCAAACACATAAACATTCCTTATTAATATCCTATGAAAATTTTCCTCAAACAACTATAACAAATGTCATGCGTATGCAACAATCAACAGCACAAGTTAAACTTATTAATCATGCAAATTATAATCGAATATTTTGTTCAACATATCGTCTGATTGATTTTCATTTGAAACAACAATCTAATCCACAACAATGTATTTATTGTCGACGATCGAAAAAAAAATTTCAAATAACATATTTAGAATTTCCATGTGATAAACAACCTATCAAAGAAATAAATAGTTTAATACAAGATCGGGTTTTACAATTATTAAATACACGTTTTACATATATTGCTATTGCATTATCAGCTGATTTAATGCGAACAAAACGTTGGGCAGGATTTTATAAGAGATTATCTGAACATAAAGATATAAATAAAACTTTATTAATAAGAAAAATCAATACAATTATACAAGTTTATGGTTTACATGCACATGTACAACAAATACAAACATTATTAACGAAATTTTTAGATGATAATCGTTATGAAACGGATGTAATTGAAACTGAACAGGTAAAAATATATGAATATCTTATTATGTTTCGAAAAATATTTTTTTAGGCAAGTGGAATATTTGCTTTATTTAAAAATGATTTTCATGAAATGGAAAATTTGGATATATTTCGTGAAGCTGAATTACATTTTGTTTATTATCATCATCGTCATGTATTACTTTTTCAATGTTTTCAAGAAAAATTTGAAATGGTTAAAAATCGAATAGAAAAAATGCGTGGGTATCTTTCAACAATTATTCTACCTGTCAAATCACCTATACTCAGTAGATATTATTCAAAATCAAATGAAATGCAACGTATAGGCAGTATGATAGAATCAAATAGAATTTCTATCTTTTCTAATCGATTTATTTTTAGTGGCATCATCATGTATGATTACAACTGAACAACGTATTGATCATAATCGACCGAATGGTAAAACTAAAATTAGACAAAAAAAAATCTATTTAAAGTTTCTATATCTAGATTATTTAATTAATTTGAAAATAATCAGTCGTTCATCGGAAAATACAACTAAAGCACAAAAATTAATCAAAGAATTTGAAGAACAAAAATATTCAACAAGAAAAATACATAATCATGATATTCATCTATTTACTGAACAAGATGTACGTAAACAAATAAGAAATTATCTGATTTCTTGAGTGTGTATCTGCAGGGTCAAAAAAACATTCTTGAGTATAAGATTACCTATGCATTTCTACGAGAAAGCGCTAAGCGGGATTTCAGTACTTCGGATATTTATTTTAATGAAACTTAATTTTAGATTGCTGTACTACAAAAGGAATGTAATACATGTCATGTTTCATGTAAAATTGATCAAGCGAACAATATTATTGAATTGGAAGGTCTTTCAGGAGATTTTATTCAAATTGAAAAACTTATTAATGATTTATGTTTAATTTCTGCACGACGTGCACTAGATGATATACAATATTCAACACAATGGATTTATTATGATGCGATAACAAATAGACCAGTTGCATTTGGTGAAATAATTAAACAACAATTAGAAAAATGTTATTTACAAAAACAAAGAGGATTAGTCAATTTAAAAGATCATACAGGTCATATTCGTACATTTGATTTGGATAAAATGATTGAAATTATTCATGGAAATAATCCAAATTTACATTCGACAGATGTTAAAATTGAACGACGAGATTTTAAAAGTAACAAAAAAAAATTATTTTCTTTCTTATTATTATCTATTTTATTATACATAGATCCTCAATCTATACAACTTCCACCATATTGGACACCAATGACAAAACCATGGGATCGTATATTACTTGGTAGACGAGAAAATTTATTTGAATGGAGTATGTCTGAATTATTAAAAATAAAATAGAATAAAAAACTTTCGATTTTATTTTAGAAGCTAATAATGAAATTCAAAAATTACTTAAATTACCACATATGTTACCAGAACCATGGCTTATTGAAGTAGGTTTTTTTCGAAAAAGAAAACTTGGTATTCTATATGAATTTTTATTTCAAATAGATTCATCGTATACAAAATCCACGTATGTTTCAACAATACATGACTCATAAAGATAATTTTGCTGCACGATCACAAGCGAATGAACGTATTCTTTATCGTTTGGCACAAGTTAATCTTATTGATGATATGTGTGCTCATGGATTCAATCGATCACATACTGATTCAGCTTGTAAAATATAAAACGAAAATTGGCAAATAAAAATATTGAATTTTTTATTTAATTTTAGTTTCAGCTTATGGTCATGGTTGTCATTTTTATTGTAAAGCAATCGATATCGATCGAACAGCAACATTATTAGCAAAAAATTTCGAAACAAATTCAATTCTTTCACAACAACAAACGCCATCGAAACCACCCGTACGTTTTTTATTTATTTGCAAAGTTTTAGTAGGACGATATACACGTGGTGATGCATCAATGAAAACATGTCCACCCGGTTATGATTCATTAGTCAATGATACGTTATCACCTGAAGTATTTGTTACTCATCATGATGCACAAGTTTTACCAGAATATCTAATTGCTTATCAAAGTGCTATTTTCTAAACTTGATTTATTTTGTTGTTTTGCTCAAAACTGTTATTGTTTTTTTTCTTTTTCTTCGGATGATGTTAGTAATATGAAGAGAATATGTTTAGAACAGTACACATTTGTTGTTTTTTT